AAGATTGTACGCTAACATGTTGCATTAGTTACCTAAACGTACTGAAAAATGCCCAAAATTGTTTAATACCTCACATTTAATGAGCATTGAAAAAAGAATGCACTACAAATTTACAGACATACACACACATGTTCTATCATGAAAATGTATTTTTATACACTTTATTTATTATTTATTTGAACACATAAATATTGGTACAGGGGGGGCACCAAATATATATGCGCCACACACAACGTATTCGGTGGTAACATACAATTTTCAACCAGGCAGTGACTCGAGAACGTTTAGATAAAGCTGAATTTTCTTCATAGGCGAGCTGCTGTCTAGGTCGAAACGGATACATAAAGTAAGAATAAGAGAGGGTGAATAAATGACGTGGTAAAATGATAATAATAATAATAATAATAATAATAATAATAGTACGAGTCATTTCAATGTTAATCAGAGAGAAAGGAATATTTTCCATAAGCAAATAGTTCATCATGATTTTAGTGCGTGGGCTGAGATACTGCCCGGCTGCCCAAACTGAAGCAGGTGGTTTTCTTAGGGGGCCACACCACGAGCCTTTGGCCTAAGGGTCTAGTCCACAAGGCAGTGGATCATCGTGAGGAGATGCAGTCCCATGGAAGCCGGTGACCAACGATTGGTTCATACGCCATTTGTTCCTTCAGGATACTGGAGCCCATGTGCACCATTGGTTTGGGGTTCGGTTAAAGCGCCGGACATTCGCTTTTCATCCTCTCATTTTCGTAAACAACAGTAATGTGACGAGAAGGCAGTCGTAGGACTTCCCTGGCAGAGGCTGTATACGCGTGGCCGTGTGAGAGTATTTCGAAAAGGAGGGCGAACTCACCCCGCTCTCGGCCATACCAGGGCATTTGGGGGCAGTAAGCTTTAATTATTCACAATATTAGCCTATTTATAATCAAGTTGTACTATATACAATAAATTCATTTGAATATTTTCACACCCAACAACAAACAACAATAACTGTACACTTTACTTATCTACATTAATTTATTAATCTTTCTACTGTTGATAAAATATATTTTGTATACAATGTTTTAATTATTTTTATTTGTTTACTCGTTCATTTAACATTACAAAACAATCTATAATTATTTAGATAATAAACATATTTCAGAATATTATATTCAATTTGAGTTAACTATTTCTATCATTAAAGATATGTATATCATTGATAGACATACTATAATAGATGTATTATCGAATTCCCGATAGTTAATTGATCAATTACTGGACAGTAATAATAATAATAATCAAGATGTATTAAAACTAATTATTCTTTTTATTTACAGTTCATACTCCAAATAGTGAAATGAATCAATATACAAAGTTAATAATGAACTAACCTAAAATGATAGATATCACTTTTACATGCAACTTACCGACTTATAAAATTTATTTATAGTTTCAAAGTATCTTCTATATTCTTTAAGATTTAAATTGAATTGTATTATTTTTCTCGTAGTTTAAAGTAATTTCAATTTAGGATTCGGTGTGAGATTAAATAAAAATTTATTTTCACAAGGGGTTTTGTGGAGATTTTTGGAATTTCAGTAGTTGAAATCATGAGTCAATTGAAGCTAGACCACCATGAAAAACCTGGAAGCACTGGAAGGCCGTTTCGCCCTAATGTGAGAATCCCCAGTAGTGCTCATCCGCGATCCCACCCCTCGCGAGGATTGGTTGAAGTTAGGTATTAACACCGTTAGATGTCGGCTCAGTGGTCTAATGGTTGAGCTCTTGAGCGCGAAACTGATGGGTTCTGGGTTCGAATCTCCTCGGGGGGATCGTGCATGCGCACTGCTGAGGAGTTCCGTACAAGGACGAAACGGTCGTCCAGTGCTTCCAGGTTCTCCATGGTGGTCTAGCTTCAATTGACTCATGATTTCAGCTATTGAAAAATTAATTTAGTTAAAAAAAAACTTATTTGATTGTCACTTTCATTGATTTAATAAAAGACAGTACTAACTTATGTAGCAAATTATCGATGACCAAATTGTACTAAGCTTATCTAATTTCTATTTACTTCATATGTCAAATCTTTAAAATAAAACGAGAAGTGAATAAATGGATAATCAAACTGGCTAGCCAAGTTAATTATTCCTTTAAAAATGATGACTAAACATGAAAATAACAGTAAATTTATGACCAGATTCATAATAATACATTTACTTACCTAATTAGCTAGATGTTACTTTAGTAATCATCTTATGTAATTGTTAATCGTGTAATAAAGAGGGAATATCTCTAAGAGTTTTGCTTAGTTAGTATATCAAAACTAAACGTATGTTAAATAGTTAAATCTTAACTCGTTCTACTGTAAGATCCTTGATTTAAACCATGTTGTAAATTACATTTACGTAGAACAGTTCTTTAATTTTGTAATAGGATATTATCAGCATGTGTAATCTGTTAAATAATCGATTACCGTGAATTACTGTAAGCTAATTAACATTAAGGATAATGTATAAATCGCTTTTTTTTGGTACAACATACAATGATGTCAGTCATAGTATGTTAGTTATAATCTGATTAAACACTCGAAATAAATTGTTGAAATCATGATTAAACTGTAAAATAATTGAATTTTTTATCGAAATGGTAGGTTGTTGACGTATCACTGTAAAAAATCACTCATGTTAATATAGTGATCACGGAAAGAAAAACTCAGTAGTGTTTATATGATTTTGCAAAAAGGCGAATACTAACTTAGAATATTTCAAATATTGAATTATTTAGTTGAATAAAACATTTTGGCCGGGTCAACATAGAAATCAGTGTAAAAGTTAGGCTTATTCCATATTTCTTCCCGGCGCCGGAAACAGATCCAAAGAAACATAGAGATTTGCCTGTTAAACAATTGACCTTGATGCAGTCATTAAAACAGGAGTTTGTGGAGAATTCTGGGTTTGGAGAGAGTTTATATAACCCTATGACTCTGGCAAGACAACAACTAACAATTGACATTTTTAGGTCAACTGCTTGATTTCAGCTTGATCCTCCTATGTAATACACGTCCTGGATCCAGCCATAAATAGAAATCGTTATATAGTAGCACAAGCCAAATAAAGCTAGAAAAGTGCACTCTTCTGTTCACACTCAATGGACTAAATGTAATGCACCACACAAACTTAAGGTTCTGATTTCAGTCTCTAGTGTAGTCATAAACACAGGCTACAAAGAAGACCCATGAGAGAATGAAATAGCTGTCCGATCCTGCAAGGATGGTTATCCAGTTATTTATAATCCAGACCGCTTTCAAATTATAACCTAGCTGCTTTGGTCTGAATTAAAAGTATCCCTCGAGTACTTGGATATTTTATTCAATTAGTGTCCTATTGAAATTGACGAATAGTGGAAATAAACTGCTTCACTGTGTGATTTTGTAGTCTTTTAAGGGATCATTGTTAGTCTGTAACATTTTTTATATTTCGTGTGCTGCTGTACTCTGGCTATGAAGAAAATACTTCATACATACAAGGAGTTGTATTGATGGTGCCAAAGACGTATGACAAGTACTTACTGGATATGAATGTTATGGTATCAAGATCATCAAGGCATTCTTCGAAACAAAGAGAGGAGCTGATATGGCTTCAGATCACCACCTGGTTGTGGCTAAGATGAAACTGAACCTAAAGAAGCACTGGACAATTCTACATGCACCGTTACGAAAACTTCATACAGATTTGTTCGGGGTGTTAACAAACTCAATGAGTTCTAGATAGCTCTCAACAATAAGCCCTATACCATACAAAATCTACTACATGAAGAAACCATTATGGTAAACAATCGGAAAGATATTAAAGAAGTGATAACTTCACAGTGCGGTAAGATGCTGAGCCCAGAGTATCTTCAAAATAGAAAGTTAATCTCTCTTGATATCTTTAGCGAATCCAATGAAGGAAGAACAGGAAGACAGCAATTAACAACAGTCGAATAAGAGAAGGAAAAGTCAAGATACAAGCCGAACACACCGAGGCAAACAAACGAATAAAGAGGAGCGTTAGGGCTGATAAACGGTAATGCTCAGAAGACCTAGCAATAATAGCAGAAAAAGCTGGAAGGGAATAAATATGTGAGAATTGTACTATACAACGAAGAAGCTAGATGGAAAATATAGAAAACCGGAGCGAGAAATCAAGGAAAAGAAGATAAGGCTATCACTGAGGTTCGTCAGTAGCAAAAGTGGCGGGCAGAGCATTTTCAAGGACTATTGAATAGATCGTTCCCTATTAAATTCACGGGATACTGAAGCAACAGAATTTGACCTCTTAAGAGATAATACCACACTAGAAATGGTCAAAATCAGCAAAGTTATCAAGTAAATCGAAAATAGCAAAGTAGTAGGACCCGACAGCATACCAACAGGCATAAAGATAAAGGCAAAAATCTTTCACATTCGTTAGTTGTATCATGTTTTCTAAGTGTTAGTCTAAATAACCTTCGAAATTTTATTCTGAAAATTAAACCAAAATATTTTCTTAGGCCCAGTTAATGTTAACAAATACTAATAGCACAATTTATCATTAAGTGTCAGGAGATGAGTTGTCAATAAAAAATTATTGCAGCGTTAATTAGTGTGTAAATTATATACATCACATTTTTCAGATCAACTCCGTCTTTTCATTGTTCTATCGAAACATAATTAATGCCTACTTTATGTAGACATTTATATGAAATAAACTGTAATAATATTCAGAAAGGTGATCATAGATTTAAAATCAAGTCACCTAACCTAGTAACAAAAAAAATTAAACTAAATAAATAGGTTCAATTAATCATCATCTAAACATCAAAATTTTTAAAGAGATAAAATTTACATGCTAAAGAAACAACAAAAGAAACTGATTAGATAAACAATAAAGTTTAAATAAGCAAACAATCAAACAAATATAAAAGTACATTAACTTTGAAGTATTAAAAACAAAAACGAAAAAAAAGAAAGAAGATGAAATGAATTGGCATACTTGTCTTCATTGTCTCATTAACAATCGTTTAAATAGTTTAATAAAAAAGGTACCAATAAATTGAATATGTGCAATAAATTTAGAACGAATAGATTGAATACAAATAAATAAACTAAGTGTACGACTAACAAAAAATATTATACGTACTAATTCAGTTGAACTTTGAATTATTTGTCCTATTTTAGTATAACCATAATTTTTAAAATCATAAAATAATACCATATCAAGTATATTAGCTATCGTTGATTCAGCAGACCAAATAATTACAAGTAATGTTAAAATATCTTGTAAATTATGTAAATTAAAACCATTAAAATTTTTATTTGAACGTTTCCTAAGAATATAATGAATTATCATTAATATGTAACATGTTGTTACAACAATAGCTGGTAATATTAATAATAAAGCTAAACATAAATAACCAAAAACTAATAGTTGTTGACGATGAAATTCATCAATAGGACTTTGTCCAACAGCTACACATTCTCCATCTGAATCCATTTGTACCATAGCTGTAAATCTCAAATTGATTGCCGTAATATATATCATTGCGAAACAATAGGATGTAAAGATAGTTCGTGGATAATCGAATATGTTTTTATTTGGATAAAATAATTGGAAACATCGTTCTATCAACATTGACATAGCGTTAAACTTACAGAACATAATGAATAGATTGTATATAAATGTACTACTCCACATATGACAAAATATCAAATTAAACCACATTTGATTTGTTTTAACAATTGGGCAAAATATATACAATACACCAGCAACTGATGCAAACCATTCACATGTCATTTGTAACATAATCATTATGCTGAGAAATTGTGTTCCCAGGCTAATATCAAATATATACAATAATAAGATTGGATTTAGGCATATACTGATAAATGAAAAGCTGAATGAAGTTATATCAATTTTGTCAGCAACCGAATTTCCATGACGCAAGATATTAATTATTCCCTGTTGTGCAGCACACATAATATCATTTATCCGAATGAAGCAGAACTGAAAATATATATCTCTATTTCGTTCTCATCTCTTCTAATTATGTAAATAGTTAATTTAAACAAATGTTAACGTTCATACTGATCGCTAATGTTACAAAGAATATTCTCCAAATTTCCATTGATAATTTTATGAAATAAAATAAATATTTCCATGGAAAACTATTCACTTATCTTGATCTTTAATAGGATTAGTAAATACACATTTGATTGGTTGTATTCGTAGATACTACATCTTTATGGGTTCTAATTGGTTGAAGTATATATTACTAAATTACTGGTTATCGTAGGTTGATAGTAGTTTATTTAGTCAACTCCTACTCTAATGCAGCAAGATTTTGTTACGTCAATTTAAAATGTTACTTCACAGAACCCTAGTTAAAATCTATACTGATAAACTTTCTTCCTGTTGGATATTGAGATCATTTACTAAAAAAACTAATATCCATAGTGTTTAGTGGTAAAAATGTGTGAAATGATATTATGTCTTAGTAATGAAACCGAAGTTTTTTCCAAAAATGATTTATAGATTCTACCTTCATGTCACCGTATTTCCTATGAGAAGGTATCGCACAAACTTCACACACTTGTAAAAAAACTTTGAATATTAGATGAAAATTTTGTTGCTATCAAAATAAAATTCTACTAGATTACAGTCCTGTATGCCCAATACTAATTAATTCCACCTTAATATCACTAAGACATTTAAGGATAGTTAAATCCAAATAGTTTTTGATCGAGAAACCAAATTGATTAGAATTGAGGCGATCAATAAATGTAGAGCGTTTTAAAGATAATTTGTAGAAATATAAAAAGACAAATACAGAATATAATTACTGTAAAAATGAATTTATATATCATTCTGATATGACGGGAAGAAAAGTCAAAATTCGATTGATTTCCTCATTACGAGTTTTGTTGAAAATAACTTCCGTTTTAATTCAATATGATGATTATTCAGTGTAGTATTCTGTTTTGTTTTCCCTTATGATATTTTATTCTGTATCATATACGATATCTTGTATTAAGTTAACATGAACGATACTCAGCATATATTTGTTATAACTGAGTATTTTTCATATATGTGATTTCATCCTAATTATTAATCAATGTGTGTGTACAATCAATATATAAATGAGTGTCCTTTCGACTAGGGTCGTCATGTTTTGGGGTTAATAAATATTCATTTATACCAGTCTTTGTGTTTATAAATTCGCGTCGTGGGAATTGCAGAAGTCCCTCGTTTCGAGTGTAAGTGATAAGCATTTCCGACACAACAATCAGCGACGACCAGATATAACAAGTAGCATTCAATCAACAAAACATATCATATTCATATGGATATTTATAAGACAACAGTTTAGGACAATTCCATCATCCTTATTGAGTATTCTCATCATTCCAAATTAATTAGAATAAGTTTCTTTTTTACTCAAAATGTATTTTGTCCTACCAGACTTTTATACGTAGAAATTCAGAGTAAAATCATCACTCTTTTACCAAATATAACATCAAATAAACTGTCCAAATAAATCATTGTAAGTATTTGTCAATTTATTTTTAAGTGGTTTATTATATATATAAGGTTGACCTTAACTAAACCACCTTGAAGTGAACCAATCCATCAAAAAAGAACACCAAAATTTTACTAGATAAATATGGAAATGAAGTATAAATATATATTTGTATTTCATACCTCGTAAACTGTTATCATGCACCGTAACGTAAGTTTAAGTTGAAAATATTCTAGTGAAAAATGGAGATAATATGAATGTTTATTAAATTTTTCACCAACTTAAGTATGTAACCTGTGAAGTTCAATGTCATTACTTAATTCAAATGAATTACATAACACTGGTAATCACCTTTTAAGGTTATGTCAGCTCGAAGCATATATACATTCAACAGATAATTTGATGATTTTTCTGTCAACTTTTGAACAGATTTCTTTAGTTACAAAATTGTTACATAATGTTACTTTTACCATATACCTGAAGACGGGATTTGACAAATTGGCGTTTATTTACTTGTTTAATATCTTAATGATACTAATGTAGCAAGTTGTTATTAGTACCGTGATGAACTTACCCTTGAAGTTGAATACATTTTAACCCACTAACTCTTAACATTCAAATGTGTATGTAAGTATTGATAAATAGTAAAGCTTAATTGATATCTTTTCATTGACTGTCACCAAATATTTTACAATTTGAGAAGGGTTTTGTAGAGATTGTAGTAATTTAAAAGTTGAATTCATGAGCCAATTGAAGCTAGACCACCATGGAAAACCTGGAAGCACTGAACGTCCGCATCCACGATACCGCACCGCGAAATTCGAATCCAGGACCTATCGAACATTAACACAGCTGGATGTCAGCTCAGTTGTCTAGAGGTTAGGCGTTCGCGCGTGAGACCGATAGGTTCTGGGTTCGAATATTGCTGGGCAGGATGGTGGATGTGCACCGCTGAAGAGTCCACTAGTAGGATAAAACAGCCATCCACTGTTTCCATGTTCTTCATGGTGGTCTAACTTCAATTGATTCATGAATTTAACTATTACATTTTACAGTTTGTTAAGCTTTCGATGAAATTGTCATTTATTAAAGTGATCATATTGCATTTCTTTTTCAAATATTAAATATACGTTTTTTTTGTGAGAAAAAAGACAACAGAAAATGAAGCACCAATCTGGCAACGAATTTATTTACTGCCTACTCATCCGTTAAATCATTCAGTCTAAACACGTTAATATAAATTGATTGCTCTCCTAATAATTTGAAAATATCCACGTGATGTAAAATGTGTGCATAGGTGCATATTGACCTTGAAATTCATAATATGCATTTTATATATTCATTTTATTTTCAGAGTATAATCTGAATCATACGTGTATGCACATATGCACTTTCTTCAATATGTATATATATATATATATATATATATATATATATATATATATATATATATTGTGTATGTGTGTGTACGATGAAAACACTTATAAGGACGTTATCATTGATTTTTACAATAACTTCGTTTTAATTTTAAAATAGAAAGAAAGGAGCATTTACCAATGATTTATATTCAAAATTTTCAGGTAAATATTGGTGTATTTGAAATTTTTTTCTGTAAAAATAAAAATAATATTTATTTCATCAATTTTAAAATGTTTTTAATTTAGTTAAACAATTTAAAGTTTTTAATAAGAACTAATTGATAGTTTAATTATAATTTGATATCATTCATGGACTTGGTTTATTTCAAGATTTAATAGAATATCGAATAGTGCCAATTTCTTGAAGACTATAATTCTTGATCATTTGAACATTGATAAATTATAATATGGAAATAGTACAATTTTAAGTTGACTAAATATAAAAATAAAATTGAGCATATTTCAAACCGAATGGTTTAAAGTTATTCTATTCATATTGATATATGATGATGATGACGTTGTACTATAAAGGTAATACATATAGTTAACAATTTCAAACTAGAACAAAACAATTGTTCATTATCAGTTTATTAATATTTACTAAATATAAATCTCAACAATAAACTAACTTTTTATTTGATTAATTCATTGAAATATATAATTCTGAATATTATAATATTTCTAAACAATTATATCTAATTGAATTCAATATTTATTTACCTTTACAGTAAATACAATAAAAGATTTCTAAAAAAGAAATTAACAATAAATGGAGAAATTAATCGAATTATTTTTTGAATTGGATAAAGATAATAATGAAATTGTTGATAAACAAGAACTTATCAATTATTGTCAAGAGAACAAATTGGATATGGAAATGGTTAATGTGAGTTATTGATTTAAATTGTTCTTCTTGTGAATAACGATACTTATATGTATGTAATTTTTTTGGTTCTCTGGTGCCAAACAATGTAATCGGAGTAAATGGAGGGATATAACGGGGTAGCAGATTTAAGTGCATAGTTTTAACTTAAAACAAATCAGTCGTGGAGTCGATAGCTTAGTTATTACACCAGTTATTCAATTATTATTATTATTATTAGCTTTATTCAATACTATATTTTTGGTACAGTTTAGAATCCTCAGCACAAAGTATTTCAACAAGTTTCTGTTTCTTACTTCTTGATCGATACTGACGATAAATATTGAGTGATCACCAGTTAGATGTTAACAGTCCAGTCAATCGACATCTGAACAATATTCATTCTTTTCGCTACATATTGCCAGCAACCACGATATCTCTGATTGGGCTTTTTGTAGCTTGTACAACGAAAGGTTGTACACTTTTCAGAAACGCACCTAAATAGGTTATGCCATTAATAAACAGAATGATGTATTAAAATAAACAAAAACAGATAACTTGTAGAAATATCTAGATGGCCGGAACAAGTAACTCAGATGTACATTTCGTAGATGAATTGTCTGAAATCTGAACATCCATCTAATTTATATGAGTCATTTTGTAGATTATCTCGTTCTACACTTATGTTTGATTACAGAATCACTGAAAAATAATAAGACTGATACTACATATTCTTCTCACGAATAATTTGACATACATTCTTGGTTGGGAAGACAAGTTGTAGTTAATTTAGCAGAATATCTGATTATGAAACTGGTAACTGTAAATCAGCTGTGATCTTTAATATCTTGCAAAATTCATTTTGAATTTAAATCTGCTTCTCATGAAAAGTAACTCTGACCTACAGTAATCGATGAAATCATTATATCAGTTCAACTGTTGACAGTATTGTGAGAAATATGTTGATAAAATTTTACGGTGATTTGAAATTATGTTATAACATGTTGAAATCGGATCACAACATTCTGTATCTTTAACCTTCAAATAATTATGGCTTTACTAAAAACTAATTCTTTGTTTTAACATCGTCATCAACAAAAGTATATAAGCTGATTGACTGAACTTTTAAAAATTAGATTTCTTTTATAACTCGGTGATTAGATGATAGTTAATATTATAATGTCTCACTGATCAGCAGCTAACATAAATCAGTAAAGAGAAACTGTATTTACTGAGTTTTTCATCTTTTAATGAGCTTTAAAAATCAGCTAAAAAGAAGTACATTATTTAACAGCTGACTATATTCACAATGTCTGCCATTTGTTATGTCCTTAACTGTACTGAAAGTATCACATATTTGTCATTTTTTACAGAACATAAATGGAAAAATCTAAAATACAATAGTAGTTGAATGTTATTGATAATTTTCTTTCTAGTACACTTGTCAACAAATCACAAGATTTATCTTTGAATTGTTATACAAACAGTTTTCGCTTAAAATACTTCGTATTTTTTAATTTCATTATGAATTCTAATGGTATACAAACTTGTTATATTTATTCATCACTTACAAAACCAGTAAGATTATAAATTAACAAAGCTATGACGTAATTTAAACCAGAGGTTACTGCAAAGTTAACTTTTTCTTGAAATTGTTTAAACCTGAACAGAAATACTATCAAAATTGACTGCACTATATCATAACTTGTCACTGTTTGTGCTGTGTAGTCATTTTTTATAAGACATCTTTCAGCTAATTGTAAACAATGTAGGACCTTTTTTTAAACATCATCAGATCAAGTTCATACACCATATCAGTAATAAATGATAGAATTAACCAAGAAATATTTGAACGAATAATTGTTTTTGATAGTTTAATCATCGAATTCTACAAGAATAATTTAACAACTACTATATTGTAATGAACAATACAATTCATCCATAAATAAGTGAATTAGACAGCATTAAATAGGAGTATGAGTTATTATTATTTTAAATTAATTTTGATTTAACATCTCACAGTGACTCTTCCTACTCCTCTCTCAAACGACCTTTGTGATCTCCACATAAAATATCATCAATACATTTAAGTGGTAACCGATACAAAACTTCACTATTTTAACATAACTATTTAGTTCACTTACAATCTATTTATGTATGTTTTACTTCAGAAGATGAAATACAATGATTATTCATTTATAAGTGTAGAGTTAAACGATAGAGTTGTTGAAAATAATGCTTTTTTTAACTGTTATACTTGTGTCTTATGTGCTCTGTTAGTGTATAGGGTAACGATACCGCCAATTAGGGAGCAGTGACGCGTAGACCCATATGAGCAGTCTAGAGTCTTTATTGGTCTCGCTTCCTGTCTAGCCCAGCCAGTTAAGTCCGGAACACCAATCCCAGCCTCTGCAATATAAATCATTTATTTCAAGCATACGGGGTTTATATACCAATCAAACAGACCACAACGTACCATGAAATAGAAAATAACATTTGTACAAATTTCGGCTAAATGTGGCTGTGAATGTGAGAGGCAGTGACTAATATGCAGGGCATAATTCAAGAATGGTAAAACGTATAATAATGGTTTATAGGTCAAAATAAAGCTTATAATAAGAGGAATATGATTATGAATAGTTTAGTTATTTAACAATTATACGATAAAAATATACGTTTAATATTGGTCCATAAATGGATCCCATAGTTACCATTCATTATGCTTATCAAGACCTAACATTAACCGTTCCTTATTTCTGAATAGTATGTGGGATTTTTTGGACAGTTGACAAAAAATTAAAGTGATCGTAATGTTTGTTACGGTTGGAAAAACTAAACAACGATAATTGTTCGAAGAGAAAGTATTATATCATGGAATAAATAATCAAAAAAAATCCTATGTAAATTTAAAATCTATGACAAGATAAAAACTAAATAAGCCTTTGCCACTATGATCGACTTAAAGTTATATCACCTTAATCCTTCAATTATCTAACGGACCCAACATGAAATTAATAAATTCTGAGAATATTAAATGTAACAATCTATGAATAGCACTGAGACGTTTCTTATGGAAAATTCATTTATGGAAAAAATATTTTAATTCAACTAGTTGAAAATCTATTCTTATCTGCATAAAAAATATCTGAACAATTAGTTATTTATATGACTTTAATTTGAACGAGATAATCCTTATTTGCCATTATGATTACTTCAATGAAACGAAATTGTTTAAAACAAAGATGTATAGTGGCTAGCAGTGGAATCGAGGACGCGTGTTTTGTCCTATTTGGGACTCGTCAGCTAGATGTACCTGTATCCCAGAGTTGATGTTCACTCTGAGGCTGGAACCCAGTACCGTTCACCCCAAACGTCATCGAGTTATTCACTTAACTACTGAGTCCTGAAAGCCACCTGCTTGTGCAATGGGGTAAGGTTTAAATTCACTTGGTGTTGTTTTACTTGTATCTCCTGATTGTTATTCAGGACTGCAGTCGATCAGTCTCATGTTGGTATACGTGCTTTTGTTTTATAATTGCTTTATAAAGAAGCTGTAAAATCATTTATAAACTACATGAGATTAAACTCATATATACTTACGTATTCACGAATACACAAAAGTAAACACCTTAGTAGAAGCCACTAACACATGAGTCAGGTACATGATGGTGATGATTCCAATGCGATAAATCCCAATAAAAAATCGATAACTCAGAGAGATCAGTAGTTTTATTGATTCGTTCTCACAGCGAAACATGTGGTCAATACAAACCAATCAACATAAAGGTATGGACAATGTGACATCAGTTTATACTCATTGACTGTTTAGTATTAACATGTAAGTCCTACATGATGTACATTGAGGCCCATACAACACAGTATCTAACTCCAACACCGTGATACTCAAATTCAGATCTCACAAGAAACACTTTACCTTAAGATTACAGGTACCGTCTACTAATACATCCCATTCAGTGAGAAACCTAAATCCTGGGTTTAATATCGACTGCTTCTAGTTATTTAATGTCAAAAAATGTTCACTGTGACGTCTAGTTACTTTATCTGGTTTCTACATTGCAACTTAATCGATAGAAGTTAATCAGAACTTGAGAATAATCGACATGACATTACTTAATGTCTACTGACAATTAATTGTGGTATGTGTCGGTAAATGACAAAGAACAATGAATTTTAGTTTATCGCTTAGTGACATATTTGTACACTAAAAACCTTAGTTTTAACTACAAATACGAAATCAAGTCTTAACATAACCTACAATAATAGAATTTACTTGCATAACTGATTAATCCATAAGAAATAATCTAAGAGTTTAACCATTTCAATTATAAACTATCTTGGTGATAAAATCTGAATACATATCTAATTTTCAATATTGATTATTCTAAACTAATCAAATTCAAATCTATAAATATAAATATAATTTCTGTTCTATCCAACCATTTTATAACTTATCTATAAAACTATATATTAAAAAAACGCCAATAGTCATTCATAATGGTCAACCTTGGAAGTATTTTATTTTTTGTTACATACATTCCATTATAAACATTGAAAGGAAGATTTATTTATACATTTACTCATATCTATTATGATAAAACATAGCACGGTATCATAATCATTTGAATCATTTGGGATGAACAATTCTATGTTGTTTTTATATCATTAACTCATGACTAAGATATGCGAATTTATTGAACACATTTATTACTTTATTTATTTTAAATTATGTAGTATTTTTGTCCTTGAAAAATAAAATTAAAATTAAACCAGCATGTTTAATTTTATTTTAAATGAAAGATAGATTTTTTTGTATTAACATATTTGATGATCACAAACTGAATTATATCAAGGAGATAAAATATTGTAATAACCAACGAACTGTTGTTTTGATTATTTTTTATATTGTTTCTGTTTAAATTTAAGAAAATATTATTAATCAGTGGTGTGTTTTATGGTTTCTTAACAATTTGAAGTAGAATATAAAAATCGATGATTTAAGATAATTTTCCTGACAACAAATTAATATTATTATGAAACTATTGTGTTCATAGGCCTTAACCATACACAAAACAATTATATGAGGGTCAGAATAACGTGACTATTAACTTCCATTCAGAAGACAATACATTAAAATCAATTAAATTTAATCTCGATAATCATACAATACTGTTATTTGAAAGAACAATTAGAAGTATTCTAAGTTTACAACATCAATTATCATGGAAATAAGATTTTTTATTTTGATACATTATGTGAAACTTATTACATATAAGTTGCCAAGTAAAAGATTACTCAACTGAATCAGTTTAGTCGATAAGCAGTATGATTATATCACAATGAAGGAGTTTTGGAATAGTATATATGCTTTTAATGTTTTATTAAACAACCATTGAGAGATTATTTTCTACCTAACTGCATAAAATTGATTTCATCAAACTGAATGATAAAAGCACGTTGGTAATAATCAAACGCAAGTTTATGATTAGCTAGTCATTTATATTCAATAAAAGTCATGTGTCAAAAAGTTGTTCAAAATTTATTACCATAGAGCTCTTAGTGATATACTACTGGGATGTCACCTAATCTTTCTTACCAATCACTCGATAATTGTAAATAAATATAATCTTTCGTCAGTAGTAATAAGTGGTTTATGAACCATTATTACATTTTCACTGGAGGGTTTTGTATAGAGTATAGAATCTTTGTAGATTCTGAATTACAAATTAATCTTATTTAGACCACCATCGGAAATCTGGGACAGTTATTCACCCTAGGCACTGGAAGATGATTGTGCAATGTCGTGAACTGGTTGAAGTTAAAACTTACCAGCGTTTGACTCTGGCCTATGACCTTGGGTTTGATTCCCATTTACATAGTCGTGGATGGACACCTAAGACGAATCCCTTACTCGAAAGGGACGACCATGCAGTCTTTCCAGGTTTTTAACAGTTGTTTAACTAAAACCAGTTAGTGATTTTAAATCCCTGGAAATTATTAGATGTTATTGTTCAATCAATACTTCTCACCTTCGACCCTCTACTGTTTTCTGATATTTAAAAATTATTTGTAGCTGTTGTCAGACATCATAATACCATTTTCAAACCATTTTACCAGAGGAGGTACATCGCATTGGTCTTCATTTCCACCAAGTAAATTTATGAGGAAATGTGCTTTATGAATCGATTCTTAATCATTGTTAGTGATTTAAACTGGGAAAATGGTCATTTGGATTTGCACTTAGTAGTCTAAAAGTATTACACTCATCACAAAAGTCAAAAATCTTGAATTCGAACGCTAGCAGACTTGTAGTCGTAAGCTGCTTTACTTTAACAAAACATCTATTCAGTTTTCTTTGATTAATAGTGATTATTTGGCTAAAACAGTTGTTGCTAACTACGAGATAAACAATTTTCACAAATCTTTCACGCTAACGGCTACTCAACTTTTAAGACATGACTTTTTATCTTTTAATAGTTAAAGAAACAAAACAGGTTTTTAACAGAGTGTTTTTGACACAGTGAATCTCTGCTTTTAAATAACGCTTTTTCATCTATAATTAAACGATGAAACAGACCATAAATCACGAGCATATTCCCATGGTCTTTCTTCCATTGAATGTATAGTATTATTTTAAAAATGTAATATGATAGTCAAATGACGTGAACACATCCATAAGATGAAAATAATTTCTGAAATATGAAAAATCATCAGTTGTGATGTGTAATTTTTTTACTTGATGATCGCATATCGGTATATGTACTTGAGAACATTATTCATAGTTTTGCAACAGAACATTTTTGAACTAGTGCAGACAACCGATTCTTTGGTACATTGGAAGAAATAACGTTGGTTAAAAATAACTATCCGTTCGGCTTCGTAGAGAACAACACATACTTGACTTTGATTCATTATTCTATTTGTGTGGGTTAGTGACACTGCTGACCAAATGAAATATATTTCAAATTTGTGATTAATCAGTTGACAGTTAAGTGTTTTAACCATTAATTAGTCAAGTAAACTTGAAATAAAATGTAGATATTTTACTTCACAGCCTAAGACAGTTTTAATTACTTTATCGTCTTATATACAAAATAAAATCTATTGAAAATTTGTTTTTTATAAAACTGTTTATCTAGAGATGGTTGTCAAGATGTGATACTGATAAAAATAACAAAATCACATTCGATGAATTTTGTCGAGGATTCGGTATTAAACTAAATGAAATGTAAGTCGTTAATTTGTTAGTTTGGTTCATATACTTTAAGTTGATATGAATTGTATTTCTTCTTTTCTCCTTTTCTTGAATTGATTCATTATTGTTTGTGTTGGTATAATTAGTGTTTTTGCTTTATTTATATTCAAAGATAAAATAGTTGGGTAGGCTCAGGAATTTCCATAGTACGTTGTTTTACAATCCTTAACACATTTAAAGTAGTGAAAGATAGTCGAAGAGAGAACTGTTATAGAAAGATCGAAATCATGAGTAAATAATCAAGATTTAGATTACGCTGTTTAAAGAGAATAAAGCATCGCTTTCCTGATAAATCACTGGAAACATCTTTTCAGTGTATAAACACATATAACACATTTAAATAATATGAACAATAACAAATGTGCCTTTTGATGTGCGTAAGTTAATCAACACAATCAATCGCTTCTTTTGTATACCAGTTAAGCGAATGTGGACATATACACACCCTTCATGTTATAATCAAAACGTCCAAATTAAATTTTTGTAAAACCGAGCATTATTACGAATTAGTCAAAGCTAGACATGTGCAACATTGGATGCCGGTATAATAGTCAAAATTTAAATCCCCTCAAAGTGACCGAAAATTCTGCGTTTTGTCCTAAGTGAGATCGTGGATACTCACTTCTAAAGAGCACCATACTAGGGCGAATCAGCTTTCCGGTGTCTTTTTTGGTGTGGGGTTTCAATGGATATTTAGCCAAGAGCATCTAGTGATGGAAACTATAAAAAGATTTAAAATTTAGTTATACATTTGATTTATGAATGTATGAACTATGTCCATAGTCATATTACTAAATTTGCAACAACCAAACCCTAAAGGAACTCTATTTTCAACCGACCCATCAATAAAACAGTAGCAAAGTAAAAACTGGACGTATTCCGTCTAAAAGCATAAGCAGAAAATATTTCAATATAAAGTAAAATGTTAGCATAATCACTTTGTACAGTTTCATTAATTTATGTTATAAATAATTTTAATCTAAGATGGTGTTGAAGATTTGTAGCTCAGGTGAATGATTTTGGAGTTTTGTTCTCTGAGCTGGATGGTTTAGTCGTGGAGCTTTCATCGTTCTTCTGAACGACATCATCAGCACAAACTTCTGATAGAAGTGAAGTGTTCGAATTTCTCCATATGCGTTTCACAGCTTGTTCTGTACATCTCGATGTTGATTGATTCTTAGGTCAATTTTAATCGAAATTAATCGTACAAATCTCTATATCCATTTAACTATTCATAATTTCAAATTATCGATATCTACAATTAGCACTACTTTTATGTCAAAGGATTACAAGATTATTTGCATCACTCATTATAGGATATATAACCTTACTGTATAACAATTTAATAGTTCATTTAGAAAATATGTAGTTAATTTGTAAATTATATATAATTGTAAATATTTCTTTAATTCATTATGAAATCAATAAAAAAAGAATCACATTAATGTAGTAAACAATCATTATTTCAAAAGGATTTCAGTCAAATTACTTTTTTTAATATTTCTTTCAATAATAAAATATGGTTAGATTAATTCACATTACATTGTAACTGATAGATTAATCATAATAACACAGATTCTTCATTGATTGGTTTCAAAATAGACTTGGATCTCATTAGTAGTTGTTCGATAGTTTAATAAATAGAACACTAAGTCGGTATTATTAACTTGGAGCCTATCACAACTCTTATTTCAGTATATATATATATATATATATATATATATATATATATATAAACAACGGACAGATCATTCTATTCTGAGGCACTAAAAGAAACGTTTTATCTTATTCAACAGGGCAAAAACAGTACAGAAGTAGATTTTATCGACGAACATTGAGTTCATAGGGGATATGGCTGCAAAGGTAATATGAAACGGAATATTGGAATTCTTGAAGCAGAACATTATTCGACTGAGCTAAGCATATTTTTAAAACAGATACTTGATCCAAGAACGTATCAAAAATAAATCACAACTTTGGGTTACCTCACTACGTGCCTAAAAATTTACTTACTCCTATTAAACACGTTTTATTGGTGGGAAAAAACCATTTTTTTTCAAACGCATATCTAAACACCATTCAGATTGGTTAACTAAAAGCGAATGTAAATCAGCGAACAATCCCATTGTTAAACATCTAGTCACTTCAAATTATTTTAGTTGTTTTTTTTTAGTTCTAGTCCAATCACTCATAATCCACACTCTCACTTACTTGAAATATGTTTAAAAAAGATTGTTAAGTATATTTAGGAAACCAAGTCTATGAGTACTAGAACAATTATTCCTCAGTTTTATTACCTTGGTTCGACATATAACTACCTTTTCTTTACATAATAATCAAATGATTGCTGGTTTAAATTCTTCAATCTGTATTTATTCACTGTTTCCATTATGTATCAATCTTATTATAACAACTACTTGATTTGTTAGTCTCATTTATTTGTGATATTATCTTGAACAACTATGGTTAATTATTTATTTAGTTTTCATTCAAATTCGTCAACTTACTATTTTTCTAATTATTCTGTTATAAAATAGTAAATTCATTGTTTTACAGTTAACAATACATTAAAATTACTCATTGGAATACTTTAACGTATAAACTATAGTATACTAGAATTTTACATAACTATAGTTGGAAAAGACTTTAGCATAAAATATTCATTCTTGAGAATTACGGATGTACGGAAATTATTTAATACGAAGTCTGTTATCAGCATGAGAGCATTTAAATAAGAATTGAAAATGTAAAATATCGAAAACTGACTAAATTTAGAAATCTTGACTGTTTAATCCCAATTAGGAAGTTCAAATAAATCTTATCCGTTATGCGACTTACAGATTCTGGATTAAATATCATATGGAATTAAAAGTTTGATACACCTAAAGAGTCTCAAATTTGAATTAAGTATTTTTTCAGTAACCTATGGTCTTTAAAAACTATCCTAATGGTCTTCTTCTACGTTAGAAACTAAATTTATTAAAATTACATTCATTCAAAATACCTATCTTCTTAATAATAACAAGTTAGATAAACAATCTCGATTCTATTTGTTCAAACTTTTAATAATATTCATTTTGGGTTTATAAATTCATTGTAACATCTTTTTTTGTTATACAAAGGCGTGTAGAAAAAATCGAAAGAGCTTTAACATGGGATAACGTCACACCAGTTAAACCAGCCAATATTAATATTATTAAATCAGCAATGTCGGAAACGAAACAAGCAAAAGTCATTGAAACATTTCAGAAATTAATGCAACAATATGGAGCTGATGAAAAGAATCTAGATAAAGTTTCATCAGAGCTAAAGAAATTTTTAGAAGAAACTTATGGTAATGTATGGCATGTGATTATAATGAATGGATCGTTCTGGATGAGTTACTCTCATGAACCATTTTGTTCACTACAATTTAAAATGAATAATCACTCATGTAGTGTATGGCGTACACCATCTGGGCAAAGATATAGCTCATAAATTGACGAAATTATTAACTTTTACCTATAACTACTATTATTATTGTTATCATCCGAACAAACTTTTATACATCACAATCCCTTATGCTATATAATAAACTTTGCTCACTTCTTAAATGTGTATATTTCTAGACATGAACACTGATTACGCTAATATATTCAACATAATGCTGAGTTTGTTTTTAATGAATCAGCTGTAACTAATTTGAGTTATTGTAAAATTTTATCAAAGCCTACACATTAAGATTATGTTTCTAAAACCAGTATTTTTGCTAAGAACTATTAGATTTCTGTATTTAATATAACTAATTGTTCATTATGATATTTTGATAATGATTTTGAGTACACAGAATAGTTATATAATAATGCTTGAATTTTATCATCTAGCATTGAAATTTAATAATTATCATCTTATCATATATGGGAAGTATTTCAGAAATTACCACAAAAGTTTTAAACTCCTTACACACGGCAAAACAACCACAGACAAAAAGATCCTATAACGGAAGAACAAAAACCTAACATTATCTACAAAATAGATTCCACCAGTTGAGAAAAGTACTGTATCAGAAAAAGTACAAGTTTTATTCACCTACACGTACTACAATATAGAATAGCTATGAAACCACATGACATATTATCACTTTTCCTAATTCACACAAGAATCTTTCTGAGAAAATAACAAGATTTTGGTTCAAACAAGTTCTAAAAATGGTAGATAATTTCTAGAAACATGAGATCTAAATTAATTAAGAACTGACCAACGCATGAGCATACGCTAAGTTGATAAATTTACACAGTAAACTTTAATCGGTCACATGCTAAAGAAAAACCCACCCAATGAGAATCCACAAGGACTTGGAGGTAGCAAATCTCATGAAAATAGCTAGCTAGAAATAAAATAGAACGATCCATCTTATCACATGCAGTATAATTACTAAATTTATTTCGATTCAAAACAGACACTAGTAATATTATTCAAATCAAAAACGAAAGCTTTGAATTTTTGCTACTCAGTTCAGAGGACGTAACACCGAGAACTTGTAAGGTTTCCACTGAAATTCATTAATTCAGTTTAACCAGCAACGAATACTTAACAGTGATGTCTATAGTCAAACAAATTCTGGTTATGTATATTGGGTTGTGAAGATTGTCAAATTTCATTGAAATTATCAACCTATCTAAGTTAAACCACTATTGAAACTCTGAAATCACTGGATGATTACTTCGTTTTGTCTACAACAGATTCCATGAATATAATACCCTTGACAATAATCTATTCCAAATATGGGATTTCAAACTTTATAGGCCTATGACTTACGAAAATATTTTACAAATCATCCATCACGATCATTTAAGTTGAGTGATCTTGAAAGTGTTTGATATCATTCGCTAAATCCGTTCTATTATGGTAAATGAATCACCTAGATGTTATAGTTGTTGATCCAACCCCATCTTCTAAATGATCATCTGAATCTTACTTTTTTCAGCATGCTTGTTGATGTAAAAATTGATCACAGAAAGAGTAGACAGTAGGTGGGGACGTAATTTCCTAGAAATGAATATACAGCACTAAGGATCAATTTTTAAATTAAAACGAATTTGCTTAGTAAATATATTTTTTTGTTTGTTAATTCCTCACAAAATTAGCTTATAATGACGCAAGATTAAATTGATGTCCTGTAATCATGATGATAAGTAGAACAGTGCTAGCAAGAACATGAAGATGACCAATTATTTTCGCTTATGTAACTTATGTCCACATAGTAAACCCTGGTATTGTACACAAATCATCATTGGGTCGTCATCAACATGTATGTTGGTGTTTCCTATTTTCTCTTCTGAACTTTTTAGGAAAGATTAAATTGTGTTGCATAGAATACACTAGGCTACTAGTAGGGTAAGTGATGAGTCTTTTGACACTTTTGAACATGATTGTGGGCAAACATTTATGATCATTAAAATCACAAGCATGTGTTATTCTACCTGCAACACACTCCATTTATATTCTTTCTCCTGTATGTTTTTTTTGGCTGAACGAGACTCAGGTGCGTTAGGCAGTATCCCTGCATAGGAAAATACAAATTCTCTACAACGCCTAGTCTTGAACTATAAAAAAAGATCTGTAAGACTCGACCTGACCAAAAACGTTCGCACAATAATAAAACCAAAATTATCTTTTTATTACAATAGACAGAATTTTAAGGTTGAATTAATCCATATTTAATTGGAAATAACAAATATGTCGACAATTGAGTCTTTAATACTAGAAAATACTAACAAAACGTATTTGCCTCAATGATAACGTTAAGTAAATGTCATACGGCTTAAAGTTGTAAGTTCTGATTAAGATCATACGTACAAAAAATATATTTAAACAAAACAGTAATTTTTATGTTGTATTTGACATGACTTTAATAATGACAATAACAATAATTCTTAATAAGCACATCATGTAAAATGTGAAAGATGAGTGCATAAGTAAAGATAAGAAAAAAATGGCATTGAAGTAGATGAAAATCTTAAGAGAAAAGGGAGTAATATCTGTGTATACACACATTTAGGAAAGCAAACCCTCACTCGGAATCCTCAAGGCCAAAGGAAAAGAGAAAGACCAAAGAACACATTACGTCGAGAAATGGAGACAAACATGAGAAAAATGAACAAAAATTGGGTAGAACTAGGAAGGAAGGCCCAGGACAGAGTGGGTTGGAGAATGCTGGTCGGTGGCATATGTTTCATTGGGAGTAACAGGCGTAAGTAAGTAATCTGTATGTACTGATAAAACTAAAACAAAGAATTCCAATTACTCTGTTATGGACTAAGATAAATAAAGGGCCAGAATGTATCTATTTTGTACATATAAGTCAGATGTTTTAGAGTTGATGCCAGTTTCTTCGACCATATTAAATGAATGTCATTTTGCGTTTGTTAAAATGTTTAATCCAAAGGACTTTATACTATACCAAACTTATATTAAATTATTACTATTGAAAAACATTTTTCATTAATCTATTCTTAGATTACAGTTACAATTATTCTAACAGTTAATATGCACTTCAATAAATCGCATTAAAATTTCTGACGTGATTTTGTTTTCCAAATTAATATTATGATTAAACGATTTCTTGAGAAGATCAGTGACCTCGGTTACGTATTATTATATATATATATATATATATATATATATATATATATATATATTCTTTATTTATTTCTTTCTTCTTTCTGAATTACCAAATATTAAATTGTTGTGATTTTAAGAAAAGAAAAAAAAATCAAAAGAAGAAGTCCACTATTTTCTTTTCGTTTAACTGTCAGTTTATTTAAAAAGAAATAGTTTCTGTAAAGAGAGTTTATTATTGTGATCATAATAAGAATGATGGCAATGCTAATAATAAATCAATAATTATTATGATTAATAGTATTATAATGTACTTAATTATGATTAATAATATACAATTACATCTTTTATTCAAATGAATATTGAATAGAGAATGGATTATTATTCTAGGCATATTAATTGTATCATGCTGTTTAGATACAAAAACTTTATGAAAAATAGCTAGAAAACTGTCATTCATTCTCATGTATACAATATGATGAATGAGCATTCAAACTATATTAACATCTTTAACAGATTATATTCATATACATAAGTTTGATCACTTGTTAACTGATAGAATTTTGAAATTTAATATGACCAAATAAATAGTAGACTTATAATAGTTCATTAATAATTGAATTCATGAATCAATTGAAGTTAGACCACCATGGAAAACCTATAAGCACTGAACGGCTGTTTCGTCCTGGTATGGGAATCCTCAGCAGTGCGCATCCACGATCCCGTCTCACTAGATTCGAACCCAGGACCTATCAGTCTCGCACGCAAACATCAAACCTCTAGACCACTGAGCTGGCATCCAAGGGTGTTAATGTCTAAATTCAACCAATCCACAAACTCTAGTTCTTCCAGGTTTTCCGTGGTGGTCTAACTTCAATTGACTCATGAACTCATTAACATACTAGCACCGTCCCATACTAGAACGAAACAACCGTTCAGTGCTTCCAGGTTTTCTATGGTGGTCTAGCTTCAAATGACTTATAAATTCAACTACTAAAGAACTATAATATCCACAAAAACCCTTCTCTGATTATATTAGTTCCTCTATGAAACGTCAGGAATTCAATTTTCTACTTACTGAAATATCACAAACGTATTCTATTATTCTTTTTATAATGATAGTTAATTTGTTGTTATGTTGAAAATTTGATCATTTCATGCATTCACATTAACCACCATCAAATCAACATTTAGCCTCATACGAAATATGGTTATGTAACTAGTGAGCACTCGAACCAGGTGTAATGCATTTGCAGAGAAACATCTTATGACATGATGAACGGCTTATAATCCTGTACAAAATATAAGGGGAAAAATAAACATAATTTGTTGTCATAGTCAACTGAAGAAACTGGATTTATAGATAACTCACTGTCCAATAAGTTCAAACATGAATGCAAGGCCTAATTCCTGCTTATCGCATTAGCCATTCTCTTCCAATCTAACTGACTTTCAGAACTACTTTAGTACTTACTTACTTACTAATGTCTGTTACTCCCAATGAAACATAGGCCACCGACCAGCATTCTCCAACCCACTCTGTCCTGGGCCTTCCTTCCTAGTTCTACCCAATTTTTGTTCATTTTTCTCATGTCTGTCTCCATTTCTCGACGTAATGTGTTCTTTGGTCTTCCTCTCCTCCCTCGACCTTGAGGATTCCATATGAGGGCTTGTCTTGTGACGCAGTTCGGTGCTTTCCTCAATGTGTGTCCTATCCACTTCCAGCACTTCTTCCTGATTTCTTCCTCCACTGGGATCTGATTTGTTCTCTCCCACAGTAGGTTGTTGCTAAATTGTGTCCGGCCAACGGATCCTAAGTATTTTGCGTGGACAACTGTTAATAAACACCTGTATCTTTTGGATGATGGATTTCGTAGTTTTCCAGGTTTCGGCTCCATACAGTAGAACTGTCTTAACATTTGTATTGCCCTTGTTTTGCCGATCCGTGCCTTCACATCTGCATCAGATCCACCGTGTTCATCGATGATGCAGTTTAAATATGTAAAGGTTTGTACATCTTCCAAAGCTTCTCCGTCAATTGTGATTGGATTGGTACATGCTGTGTTGTATCGTATTTGTTGTTGCGTATGCGATAGAAGAGCCAGATCATCTGCGAAGTCTAGATCATCCAATTATATCCTAGCTATCCACTGTATCCCGTGCTTCCCTTCAGATGTTGATGTCTTCATGATCCAGTCGATCACCAGGAGAAAGAGAAAGGCTGAGAGTAAGCAACCTTGCCTGACACCAGTCTTTACTTCGAACGACTTTGTCAACTGTCC